GCCGAAATATACCGATACCGTGCCAATTCTGATCCATCATCGAACCTGAAGCAAGCAGATGCCGAGGTTATACCGGACCAGAATACTATCGTTGTAATGATGCGGAGTCTGAAATAAATTGTCGTAATGGTCCCGAACTTGAAAACGAACTTGAATAGATCACCGGTCCCGAGCCTGAAATAGACTGTCGTAGTGGTCCCAGACCTGAGAATAAATCGCTGCAGCAGTCCCAGCCCGGAAAATAAGCCATTGTAATAGCCCCGAAGCTGAAATAAGGTGTCACAGTAGTGCCAAGCCTGAAATAAACCGAAGTGACGACTTATAAATTGAAGTAGAACGTCGTGCAGGCGCCGTACCTGCGAGGACCGCCGTCAAGGTTCCGACCCTGAGGTAAATCACTGTGGTGGTCCCGAACCTGATAATAAGTCGCTGTCGTGGCCCCAGGCCTGAAATAAACTGGTGCTGAACCCATGTCAAGCCTGAGGTACCGCGCCATCGAGCCATACCGAACCTGAGGTGACCCGACGCGGCGATACCAAAGCTGGAATAAACCGCCACGGTGGTTCCGACCCTCTAAATAAATCATGGCAGTGATACCGAACCTGAAGATAAGTGACTGTAGTGTCCGCAAGTCTGAATCATAGTGTCGCCGCACTCACACTGAACCAGAAACACGCCAGGCACCGCAGGACGAAGCCACTCCGTAACAATACCGATCCCGTCTGTACCATGTACCCGTACCAAGCCAAGCACCACACATACTGTCGGTCCGAAGTAGCACCATCCTACACCGTCCATGCGACCACCCTCGAACTGAGTCGGCGAGGTTAGTAATCTAGTAAATCGGGTAAGCGCCACAGAAAATCTCGATCGCCGAGCAATAGTGAATAAGGTTTGAATCCGGAAAAAAATAATTGATCAGGGGTTAGGGGCAGACGGCGGGCGATCCTGGCAAAACCAGGCCAGGCATCGAATAATCATTTGTTCCTGTTCATTTTATCGTCTTTAATCATTCTCTCCCTTTCTTAATTCCATCGTCTGAATTAGTGAAATAATCGTAAGTTCACCAAAAATAAATCCCCATGGGTTTTTAATTGAATAATTGAAATTTTTGTGTTTCTCTCTCCCTTCATCATTTTTAGTCTTTTCCCTTCGTTTTCGATTTCATTGCCGGAAACGTAAAATAATAAGGTATCCTCCAAAATTTCGTTGCCGCAAAAAATAAATGAAATTAAAGAATATTCCGTTTTTTTTCTCCCCTCCTGCTTTTCTTAGTCTTTTCTCCCATTTATAATTTTAGTACCAAAATCGATAAAACTCGGGGCGGCATTCCGACCCCGGGCGTATGCTGGGAAAGCGCTGTGGCGGGGGTCAGTTCCCGTGATGCCTCTCCGCGGCCGTCTTTTCCAGGTCTAGCCTCGGAACGGCTGAAATGACGGTCCCTAGATATGTCGGGAGCGGCTACCCATTTCGCCATTTTTTAGGGTTACTCCTGTCAGACGTTATGGGGAAAATTAGGGGTCCCTTCGCTACCCCTAATTTTTCCTGGCGCGTCAGGCGAAAGTCCTGGTCTATTCTCGTCTTATCATTTAATCTAGAAGTGAATATGCCGAGTTTAGGGTGACCGACCGAGGTTCGGTCGCCCGACAAACAAGCCCGGACCTCTTCTCGACGCCCCCGTCGAGCCCGCAGTCTCCATCAGACGAAACGAACAAGATCTAAAATAATTACACTCGCGCGCGGCCCATGCCGGCGTCTCTCTGTTTTGTGTTTCAGTCTCTCTGAAATCCTGGGACTAATTGGATGTCTTTCTTTCTTGTTACGCCGCGGCAGCTTGGTCTTAGGGACAACCGTTTTTCTCGATTTCTTCCCTCGCCGGAGAAGCAACCTCGTAGGGGCTCTCCCTCGTCTCACACGGACTCGGCGTTTGGGCCTCCGTAACATGAACAACCATTTTTTCTTCTTTCCCAATGTTAAGCCCTTGACTTTTTTCGTTTCCACTCTCTTTCTTTTCCTCGAACTCTCACCTACCTCGTGCCATCTAGACACTCTATCTTCAATTACCTTTGCTTTGCCCTTCCCTTTCGGGTCGGATAGTCTCAGAGTAGGTGCAAAGGTTTTCCTTGCCCTGAACAACTTTAATCTAGCCCCCGCCACGGGGTCCCTTCCATCTGGATCCATCTAGCTCAACAATCATGTAAGCTCCCCAGGTCAATGCCTTGACTACTCGGTAGGGACCCATCCATCTGTTAGCTAGTTTCCCTGTCCAAGTCCTCTCTTACGCCGCGTCATACAGAAGCACCAGATCACCGACTTTTATCTTTTATTTCCTTATCCTGATGTCTTTGTCTCATTTCTCTTTGTCTTTCTCTCATTGAAACGCCAACCGATTGGCGGCAGTCATGAGCTCATCCTCCAATCCGTATGTTGTCTGTCTAGTCCTAGCCGCTAGGAGGTCCTCTCGTATCATATTATCAGTCTAATCAGTCGTAGTCCAACTGTCTACGTGGAACTCTATAGGCAGGGGTCAGTGCCTCCCAAACCATAGAGTATATGGTGGGTATCCCGTACTCGCTTGCACCGTGACATTGTCTGCCCATATCGCATATCGAAAATATTTCGGCCAGTGGCTTTCTTTCCCTCTACACCACTTAGCAAGCGACGCTATCAGCGACTGATGTCCTCGCTCTACCGACGCATTGGACTAAGGATGATAGGCAGTAGCTATCGAGACTCTAGCTCCCGCTTTCTTGAATACGCTCTGTACCTCATCCGCCAAGAACTCCGCTGCTCGATCCATCACGATCTTACTAACACACCCGTACCTTGATAGGTATTCTAGAACAAAGTTCTTAACTTCCTTGGCTGGCTTCGTTCTCATGGGTTTTCCATCGACAAATCTCGTGAAGTCATCTCTGATGTTCACTACATAGTTCATGTTTCCGACGCCTCTCGGCATTTTCACTAAGTCGATATGTACCTTTTCGCCCGGCCTGGTGGGGTAAGACGGGTGAAGTGGTTCCTTGTATCTGACAAGGGACCTCTTCTGACAACCTTCACAGGTCACGCAGTACCTTTCATAATCCTTGTAGTGTCCTTCCCACCAATACAGCCTGCGGACTTTCTCGTACGTTCCTTTCACTCATCTATGTCCATCGAGTACCCCGTCGTGGAGCTCTGCTATTATCTCGTGCCTCTCCTCTGGATCGCAGACTACTCTCAAAGGCATCCCTGATCCAATGGGTCTGCGAAACAAATGTCCGACCCTCAAGCAGTACTGGGCTGCCTGTCTCTGAATCTCTGAATCTGAACTCTCCTCACCAGACAAGTGCAACCCGATCGCACGGTGTTTCCCTGCATAAAGATTCACTAAGAACTGATCGGTGCATCTGGGTTCAGTAATAGTCAATGTTGTCACTTCTATCGGTCGTTCGGCCCAGATTGGGATGCATGAAAGTCCGTCAGCCACAGCGTTCTTTGCACCCGAGATTCTTTCGACAGTATAGTCGTAGAGTCGTATCCTGATCAGCCATCTGGCGATCGTAGGATCGGTCAAGGTGAAGTCCTTCTGTAGGACATGCTACTGCAGTAGGATCTACCCATAGGATGAATCGTCGTCCATAAATGTAGTGCCTAAACGCGTCCAGGCATCGTAAGACTGCCAATACCTCCTTCTTGAACTGGCTGTAGTTGCATTCCGCTGTGTTGAGCGTTCGACTTTCAAATCTCAACGGTCTTTCCTTCCCATCAGCGTCCTTCTGCGAGAGTAGTCCTCCGACTGAGCATGGCCCAGCATCCGTAGATACTATGAATGGCCTATTGGTCTCGTCGTCGAAGAATGGCACCCCCAAGATTCGGCCGCCTTCCTTGAATTCTTCTTTAAGTGTCAAAACCGCAAGCTCCTGAGAGGAATCGCAATAAAATTTCTCTGTCTTCCTAAGGAGAGTCCGTAATGGTTCGGCTTTCTCCGTGTATGCTCGTATAAAAGTCCACCAGTACCCCACGACACCCAGGAACTGACGAACTTTCGTCACATTGTGTAACGGTGTTGGCCAGTTCAAAAACTTGTCCAACTTAGCTGGATCGGCACGTCGCCCTTTCGAATCACAGATAAAGCCCAATATTTTGATCGACGATACCGCCCATCTGCTCTTTGTTCCACTAACCATTAGGTTTGCCTCGTTCAGCTGCTCAAGTACAGCATAGATGTCAGTCAAGTGTTGCTCTACAAATCTCTTGACTCCGGGTGCGACCTCAGTCTCATCCTTCAGCACCGGTCCCTTAATCGGGAAGTCATCCAGAAAGACCTCCACTTTATCTGGGACGAAGTCGTTCAGGACCGCCACCATCGCTCTCTGGAATACCGCGACCCCAATGGTCCATCCCATGGGCACCACCATCATCTGGACTAGTCCAAGCGGTGTGTGCATCGTTGTAAGATGCCTGTCTCTAGGGTCCAAGGGTATCTCGTCATATCCTGAAAATAGATCACTGACCGAATAAATCGATTTGCCCGCTGCTCCCTCTGCTAGTAAATCTGCGTGGGGTATAGATCCAACATCTCTTATGGTGACTGCATTCACTTTCTGGAGATCCTGAATCCAACGGATCTTGCCATTTGGCTTTCGTATGAAAAACCACCAATTCGCGTAGGCGTTGTCAGATGGTTCGGCCATGTGGGACGCCATCTTCTCCTTTAGAAAACTTATCACTTCTTCCTTCTCCTTCTGGGCAAACTTCCATCCGGCATCATTCCATTAGGTATGTGGGACCGTGTAGATCCTAGCATGTTGCGCGAACCTAGGATCAATCCTGCCCCTCTCAGCGTCACTGAAGGCTATCGCCTTGCCGCACGTCTTAAGAACCTCCAGGACTCGCTCTTTCTCCTGCTCCGTCAAGTTCTCATCTCCTATGTCCATCTGTGCTATCCTCTCTTCTATCAACCGTTGTGGCTCCTCCTTCTTTCTTTCCTTGATCTCTCTAGCGATCTCTTCCTCGGATATCCCATCTTGCGCAGATCGCTCCCGAGCTACCGCTGCAGGCTTGACTTTCCGAGCTACTGTCTTGTGTCTCTTAGGCTGCCCCCCGTAGGAAGTTGGTCCCTCAAAAAAGACACGGAGATCATCCCTCCGAATTCCTTATCTTCGTCCTTCGGATAGGAGTTCTCATTCACGAGGATACGGCTGCCCAGATCCTCGATCTCGACGATACGCCCTTCTTCCTCGGTCAGTAGCAGTCCGTATTTCTTCTCACGGAACTGGAAAGAACGACTTCCGAGGGCAATCCTGTCAGGCTCTCCTTTGGCGGCTAAAGCTGCTCTGTTCCTTGGATCGCGAGGCTCGACTGTCTCTATCATAATCCGACCACCATCCGATCGTTTAATCGATAGCATCTGGCTCTCGTCTGGTCGCTCTATCGTGACAGCATGAACGTGACTCAGCCAGGTGCGTCCTAAGAGTAGCTCTGAACTGCAGCCCTTGACAGCAAACACTTGCATCCGAAAGCGCAATCCTTCGACCTCTATCGCCGCCTTGTAACAAACACCGTTGACTTTCTGCTTCTTTCCCGCTGCAGTCTCGATCTCGAAATAGTAGGATCTGTCTAAGTCGAGCCCTAGCAGTACAGCGAGGCCCTCCTCTATAATAACAGCCTCACTTTCATTGTCGATCACCCTTTCAAGGGTCTCCTCATCGTTAAGAATGACCTCGACCGTCTCGCTCCCTAGGATATAAAACTTGTCGGGAGGTATCCCTTCCTTACCATCAAGGAACACCGTCGCCGCACGGTCTGCCTTGGCGGTCACACTGGAAACTTCCACAGTTGGGGCCTCCGGTTTCAGTGCCACCTGTGCCTCATCCCCGAGAGGAATACGTGTCTTCCTCGTGATCATCTGTAGTTCGTCTCGCGCAGGTCTGGAGGCCGTCAAGTACTCGAGTATCGAGCACTGCATGGGTTGTCTAAGCACGCGTCTGAGAGGCTCCACTGTATCAATACCATCCAATGAGCTCTTTATCGTGAACTTGCGAGCTTCGCGCTTCCGTGGTGACAGTATTACTTCCTCTTCATCGATCCTCTGTCCATCCTTTTCTGCCATCACATAATCGGTGTCCGCCTTCTTTGATGATGATGGTCTGGCGGATTTCGTTGCCGCAACTCGGATAGGCGTTGTAGGCGCGTCCTCGTCCGACGACATCAGTATCATGATGCTCCGACTCCTTGCTACTTCCTTCCCTTTGCTGGGGCGTACTCGTCTGGCGTCGACGTTTTCCTTCATCGAAGGAAACATTGAGACATCTCCTAGGTCATCCGTCCACTTGACGTACTTTCGGTCGTCAAGCACTACGATCCCATCGTCTATTGCCCGCTTGAGGTCGGGGCAGTCCCTTTTGACATGGTCATCCGCCTTGCAGTAGACGCAAGTACTCCTCGGGGTAGGTGGCCTGTCCTTTCCGGCTCTTGGCGGTGGTCCTCTCGGTGCTCTGGCACTTTGGTTGGATAGTCCTGGTGACCTTGGATAAATGGTTGACTTTGGATACCCTGACAATGCAGGATATCCTCCTCGGTCATATCGCCCACAGGAATCGTCTCGCCGATCCCCTCGAGAATCATCACGCATGTCTCCTCTGGAGTCGGCACGTGTGTCTCTTCCTCTATCCGCCCTATCATATCCTCCACGATATCTGTCTCTGCGATCCCCATTAGGTTCCCAGTGTCTGCGGGAATCTCCTCCACCCCTGTGCGTAAAGTTCCGAGGGCTCCGGAAACCATCAGGATTCCGGTCGTACCTAGGGCTCCATGGGTACTGCTCGAATCGTCCACCTCTGTAATACCCATCCTCCTGGCGATATCGGTCAGTGCGACGATCTCTATCGATCTCATCATCTCTCCGCCTCCAGGGTTCATCTTCGGCCCTCTCACGAGCTCGATAGTCTGCGAGCGTGCGGGGGTTCCTATCCCCTACACTCCTCCAAGGATTGGAATTCCTGCAATCCCATCGTAATGAATATGGGGATCCAGGCTTGTCACGATAGCCAGGTGCCCTAGTGTCCGCACCTGTCATCTCTCTGGCTATCCCTCTCATTATTTCCCTCATCTCTGCCATCATTGACTCTCTATTTCGTGAACGGCGCGGTCTATCCTCATCGAATTGGAACCGACGATCCGCCCATAGTTGGTCACGGAAGTCTGGGCATCGATCAGTCTCATAATCCCTGAAGAGGGGGACATCCCTTTGTTTTAACACCTTCTAGACCAGATCCTTGTAGTCATCCGTCTCGGCCTTCATTGCCAGTTTGAGTACGGTCGTGAACTCTAGTTCGTCATGGGGAAGTTCTCGGAGTATCACCTTCTACTTTCCTTTTGGTAGTCCTGCAATGAAAATCGTACATCGCTCCACCTCAAAAAGCTTCCCTCTCTTGATTAGAGCGTCCGACACCTTTTCAAATTGCCTCCCGAAGGCTCGAACACTCTCGTCCTCTTCTATAGTCATCGATTCCAGATTTTTGATTGAGTATCGACTGTCCTCTAATTTGTAGAGCTCGTACAGATTTCTCTTGTGTGTGGCCCACTTCCTGTCGGCCGGACGCGCCTCCTTGATCTCCTGGCTCAGGCTCGGATCGGAGTTGAATAATACATTATCAATAATCTCATCCTCCGTCCATTGATTACGATACGCATGGAGCTCCCACTTCTCGAGGTATTCAGTAATCCCGCGTCCCTTAAAGACAGGAGGTCTGGTGTCCAATGCGGTCGAGGGGTGAGTTATGATGTAGCGATCACCCTTCCCATACGGAAGGGCGTGCGACTCACATGTCTGTGGGTTAAAGACACTCGCGGTTAACGACCACCTGAAATTTTAGAATGAAACATTCTGAAGTGGTCTGAAACCGCTGAAATGGCCTGAAGACACTTCAGGTCATTTCAGAAGTTTCGGGTGGTTTGGGGGACACGTTTTATGTTTTTTTTTTTTTTTTTCAGCCTATTTTTTCAGGCACTTCAGGTCATTTCAGGAGTTTCAGGTGTTGGGGACCTGAAACCGCTGAAGTGGTTGAAGCTTCTGAAAGGGGTTTCATGTACCCCCATTCAACCATTTGGATGGGGTACCTGAAACCCCTTTCAGAAGCTTCAGCTACTTCAGGTCATTTCAGGAATTTCAGGTGGGGACCGGAAACCGCTGAAGTGGCTGAAGCTTCTGAAAGGGGTTTCAAGTACCCCCATCCAACCATTTGGATGGGGGTACCTGAAACCCCTTTCAGAAGCTTCAGCCACTTTAGGTCATTTCAGGAGTTTCAGGTGGAAACCTCAAGTGGCTGGAAGTGACCTGTAAATAGTGTTTGTTGTTAACCATCTCTCGTCAAAGACCCGTCGCGGTGACGTACCTCTCTCATGAGGCCTGTCCCTGCCTCTCCACGCTGGCTCGCGACCTTGTGGCTCACGCCACTCATCTCGGCGTCTATCTCCTCTGTCCCTACGATCGTACGTAGGTGAACGGCGAGAATCTCGAGAATCTCTCCAATGACTCGGAGGTTCCGTCCTAACCTCCATCCGAGCTGCAGTCTGCACCCTCTCTAATCTCTCATGTGATCTCTCCAAGGACCTCTCTAGAGGCCTCTCTAATGGTCTCTCCAGAGGCCTCTCAGGCTCTGCGAGAAACGGCCCGCCCATCACTTCGGGCTCGCCGTCGTCAGGTTGTGTACACCTGAGTGGCCTAATACGCTCCTTGAGCTCGCGTAGGGCTTTGTCTGGCAATGTCCGATAGGTACTCGTCTGGGGCTCCATGTTAGGGTGTGTCCCCATCGTGTCAGATTCCATACGTCGGTCCGACTCTCGTCGCCTACTACAGCAGCCCGGACCTATGGAATAATCCGCAGCCCGGACCTAAGAAATAATCTGCAGCCCGGACCTATGCGATCATCCGGTCGCACAGCTCGTCAGTGCTCAATCACTAGTCCGCGACAACTCTCAGAATCGCTATGAGTCTCCCGGTCTCGTCCCGTATCTCGTGCTCACCCTCTATACCAAGAATCCCAAAATCAAAATAGCGTTCTCCCCCTTGCTCCTCTATGCAGCGAATACCTCTCCTGATCTCTAGCACTCTCGTCTCCGGTACCCGCACTCTCCTGCAGATGACAGTCACGATCGTCCTCAACTCCTCTGGGGCACAAGATCATAACCGCTCTCGTATGTCGATAGACGCTCTCCTCTCTAGATCACTCAACCCTCGTTGCACGACACGGGCCCCTGCCTGCGGATAATCACCCCCTACGGCCATCAAACTTGCGACATCGAAGGGCTAGGTCGATCACGATCCCTCTGTTCCTCTCTTCCGCTACTTGATGAGGTACTGGAGGTCTAGGCAAGCCCTGAAAGAGTGTTATCCGAGTGTCCCAGATAACCTCCTTACCCAGAGCTAGCAACCTATCTCGCTCACTTTCCACCAGTTCTTCTGCGCGCTCCCAGCATCTACCGTAGATCCGGTCGCTCCCTATCTCTACTGGGAGATAAATCCTAACGTCGTACACGTCGATAGAAAGGAACTGGACAGTGATAACATAGAGGCGTATCTGCTCCCAACCGCTGTCGACTAACTCGTATGTCACCACCTCGTATGGAATTACCTCTCTGTGCCCTATTGAGCTCAACTGCTCACAAATTGCCTCTAACTCCTCGTCCGATGGTCTATTGCCCGCAAGGAACCTCTCTCTCCTTGCCTCCAACTCCGTCTCAAAGATGGTTATACTTCCTCTCATCCCTTGATCCTACTCTGAGCACTCCATAGCCACTAGGGCTAGAGCCATCTGAATCCTCTCTGCTGACTCCTCCAAATGCTGATAAAACGTCTCAAAGTTGTCCATATCCCCCAAATCCTCTATGTCCTGCAAGGTCTCACTCATCTCCTTTCGGTAATTGTTGTGTGTTGTTAGTATCCTGAGGGTCGACCCATCTACGATTACCTTGCTCAACTCGCCTGCCACTCTAGCGTGCGCCTCCAATAGTCTCTCAGTCTCTGTCGGCGTCTCATGCCATGACCTGACCCTCGACTCCCGTCGTACGGAGATAGACATAGTACGTATCTGATCAGTCGACCACACTCGATTGCTACCCAACTTCCGATTTCACGCACACTCCTCAGTGCTACTCGAGTACACTCCGCCTCATCGATGACGCTAAGTGGTCTATCTGGATCATCACACGCACGACCGGTCCATGTATCTGTCCCACGACGTATAGAGCATACTCATCATTGGAACTCCGAGTCATCGCGCTCATCTCGCTGTCATTGCTCCGGTGTCCTCTTCACACTTCCTTCCTCGTCAGAATTTCCTTGTACGACTTTCCCTCGGTCGGTCGCCTTCGTTGACGACTCTGCACAGTCGCGACTTCGATCCTTGCGATCCCTCGTCTTCAGACTCTCTAGAAAGTCCAAACGCCACCTCCTAAAAAACTCCTTGTCCTCTCTGAATAACCTCTCTATCCCTCTGGTTCCCGCTTTTATCCTCCTCAACTTGCCTTTGTCTCCGCACTTCTCACACTCGCGTATCTTGTCCCTAGTTGTCGTGAGTTGTTTGGACAGTGGTTCTACCATACGTTCTCCCACTCTTTTCACTCTCTCATCCTCATTTTCCATCCCCCGTTATTCATTACTCACGCGTCTATTACCACTCTCCCTATACTCTAGCTCGCGCCTCGGCCACCGTCTCGTCGAAGTACCACTCCGTCCGCAAGTAGCCTGCTGACCATACCATTACCTCATAAGTCACCTTCGTCTGGAAGGTGACGCAAGCAAGGACTCCCAGTCGATACTCGTCGACCAAGTCTCTAGCTCGTCTCACGCACTCGGCCTCTGTCAGACTCTCGTTTATGTGCACTCTAAGTAGTACTGTGGCAGTGAATCCCTCACTCACCAGCTGTCTGCTCACCTCGACTCCAGCCGATGATCGCTCTGCCATTCCTCCGCCTCCGTGAATAAGTGCCTCAAGTCCTCTAACCGAACGTACCTCTCCTCCACACGCCTCTTGCAGTAGTCGACCACGTCGACCGGTCTCAGACAGTCAACCCAGCACGTCGCGTCTATGAGACCTCTCAACTCCTCGTCGTCAAAGCGCCTCCACCATAGACTGACGACAAAGTAGGTCTCCTTGAACCTTGGTGCCAACCCCAGTCCAAGGGCAAGGTGCGTATGTCTGACTGCTCGTGTTAGACTCTTAACCCCTCCGTATACCTGGTCTATCACGAACAGCAGAAGCGCCCACCTCCAACCCTGTACAGGGTGAAGATCCCGCGTTGGCGATCCGAACACGATACGCACCCTCGGTTGACTATCTCCACCTAACGATCCCGCCTTCCTATCTAGTACTGCTCTGGCCAACGCCTCGTATCTCCATAGACTTCTTTCGATACCGACCAGCGTCAGTCCTATTTCGACCTTTAGCGTTCGATCAAAGATAAGATGCCCTATCAGCTCCACCTGCCTTCCACTTCCCGGTTCCTTTTCTTCTACGACTACCGTCCAGAGAAACACTCCTTCAGCTATCCACGTTCCGACGTACCCGAGCGGCACCCTATGACTATCCTCCAATCGCGCAGGAAGAGGTACGTCGAAACCCAGCGCAATCTCCCTAGGCTCTGTCAGTCTCCTCACTCTATAGGAGCCTGAGTCTCGCAATAGGACATACGCCCACCATGCACTCGAATCACTCCTCATTACCCCACGCCACTCAATTTGTGTCACTCTACTCCCTTCGATGCACTCGATCTCACGATGTTACGAACTCCTTAGACAACTCTAACACTCAGGCTCAGTATCGTCGAGTAGGTGTTGTGCACTCTCCCATCAGCTTCATGGAAGTAGATGGTATACTCGACGTATCTCTGGCCCCTCCGTATCTCCAGAGCATGCTCGGTCATGAGTCTGATTCGTCGCGCAACGTCGCCCATCGCCTCTTCTTCCCAACCCCCTATCCTATCTCGTTGCAAGGAAAGGGTCACTCTCAGTGTGTCTCTGTCCGCCATCTCTATCAGCGCTTAATACAATTCCTGTCTCGTCTGAAGTTATCTCCCTGTATCTATTAACCGACACCCCACTACTCCGCTCTCTACACTATGCCCGCATATGCCCTATCCTTAATCGTCTCCCGCATTTGGCATATCCTCGTCCACGTCCTCGTCTTCGTCTGCATCCACAGCCCGGCCCCAGGGGATATGCTCTTGTCCCTCGGCCTGAGCTAGATGCCCCCAACCGTCGCTGTCTGGTTTGTCTAAATCGGCGCCAAGGTCGTCTTGCCCCGCGTCAGGCACGTCTCTCCACGGTCTTTCGTCCTCTCCCCAAGGCTCGACGTCGCTAAGGTGTTCCCAATCTCGATCATCGATGTCCCAGCCGAACTCCTCTCTATCTGGATATATCCCCTGGTAATGTTCCTCTAACTCCCAGATAGATATGAGGGAAGCAGGCCTGTCGCCGAGAGTCTCGCTAAAGAGTCGTCTGACCCCCTCCAAACCATCCACTGGTCTTTGGACTTCCCTGTCTAGTGCCAGCCAGAACTCCAAGGGCTGGCCCGGGAAAAAACAGTGGGGGCCTGTTGTAGGCGCTAGAGTACGTAAGAACTCAATGAGCTGTATCCCCCTCTCTCCAGTAAGAGGCCCGCCTACGAACTGTGCGTAGGCAATCCAGTCCCGATCCGTTTGCCCTCTAGCTAGTGCGTCGAGCTCTAGAGCCGCGAAATACTTCTCCATGACGCACCCCATGCCCCAAAGCTGCTCCACTACAAAAACCGGGAACCTGGCGCGCATTCGGACCGTCGGGAAAGCGAACCCTCCTATCCGAAAGGTAGTCCTCACCTCCCTCATAGGCCCATACAGATCCTCAATCCCCTCGCATGCACTCTCCATCACGCCTGTCAGGATCTCTCTCACCTCTCGCTCATACCGCCATTTTCCATGCACCAAGCGCTGGATATAGACGGTGCCGCTCACCTCACGTGAGTAATAAATATGCCCTAAGGCCTCTGTGGACGTCGTGCCAGGCGCTCGCCACCTCTGCGGATCGGACTCGTAGGTCTGAACGGTATATGACCATAGGTGCACGTCTGGCCCCAGCCGAGTCGACCCCCAATGGTCAATCAGCCCTGGCTCAGCTACGCATCTGGCCGGTAGATCAAACTCCACCAAGTCGGGAACTATGATCTTTGGTCGTCTAGGCCATCTGAAATCACCAAAGGGTAGGTCATCTCTCTCGATCTCCTCTACCATCTGCCTGCAAGGTCTCCTATCTCACTTTCTCACTCTCCTGTCGAATCTCACCGCTAGCCTAACTCTCACTCGCCTCGCCGCACACTCCGCCTAGGCACTAATCGGTACTCCTATGCGTGGGAAGTGCGCGTCTACCGTGTCGTCCTCCTCCTCGTCAACCTCACTCTCTGGGTCAACCCAATCCGGCTCCCACGAGTCTCCTTCGTTCTCTCGCTCCCACCCCTCGTCGTCGAACTCGTCCTCGACGCGGTAGGGTGGGAGACCTATGGTCTGATACTAGTCTCTCAACTGATATTCTGATATCAGCGTCCTAATCTCATCACTCCACCAGCTTCACCAGTCGTCCTGAAAGAGGAGGCCTATACACGTAATGCTCTCGGGTCCCACTCGGAGCTCCCGGTCCAGCAAATCCCAAGCGTACGAGGGAATTCCCCACAGGAGAACCTCGTCTGGTGCTATCGAACAGATCAGCTCCACGAGCTGGATCCTCTCGTCGCCCCAACGGGGCCCAGCTGTCACCAAGGAGTAGTAGATGTAATGGGAGTCGAACTCGTCCCTCGAAAGACGCTCGAGCTCCCTAGCCTCGAGATAAGCCTCTACTATGCCTCCTATCCCGCCAAAGATGGAGTTCACCACGAACGCTGGAACGGTCGCTCTCAACCAAGTCCCTGCGTGCGGGAAGAACCCGTCTCGCGCTAGGACAAGCTCTCCGCTAATATGCAAGCGGGGTTTCCCGTGAAACAAGGTCAGAGGATCCTGCCCGTCATCCGTACGGAAGGCGTCAACCTTGGTCTGCAAGAGTCGCTCAGCCGTGCAAAAAATATCGCTCTCTCCCGAAATGGCAAGACTCAAGACAGCCCCTTTGGCTGTCTCTGAATCCAGGTATAAATACCCTCGCATTAAACCTCTCCCGAGATTGCTTTGGACCTCACTACACAGCCACAACCAAGCACCCTCAGATAGGGCGATAGACCTCCAACTAATCTGGCCGTCGTCCCACCTAGTCGGTCGGGATGGAAGTGTGAACTTCACTAATCCTCCCTCTATAAGCTCCGGAGGCTCTATGTCCCAAGCGCGGGTAGCCTCGTAGACCTCTACCTGCGCTAGCGACCACGTCCAACCGACGGCTAGAGAGGAGGTAGTAAAAGAAATGGGTAGAGAAGATGAAACAGACAGTCGATTCTAAGAAAATTTTGACAGCGCTTCGCCTCCCTTCGTTGGGAGCCCCGATAGTACGCTGTCAATCTATCTCCAACCTATCCCAAGAGTCCCCTAAGGAGTCAAAGGGCGGAATCCCGGCCCTAAACAAAGCAAATAGGCTCTATAGTCAAGTTCCCTCGAATACAAAGCGTGTGCTCTGTTCGAGGAAACCTTGCCTGTCGCTGCTCCGGTCACCCCTCCGGAGTACAGATGACCCCCTCTATCTAAAAACCAAAATTAGAAGGCCGTCACCTTCTTTCGGCTATTTTTCTAAGCCATTTTTATATTTTTAAGGAATTTTAATAAATTTAAAATTAATAAAAATTATTTTTAATCGACAGAAACCTACTGGCTCTCCACCACTGCCTAGGGGCATGCAAGGTTCCCCCTAGAGAGTAGAGCGGCAAGTACGTTTCTCTTCTCGGCACACACTAACTGTTTATTTTAAATTTATATTATATAAATATCAAATAAATAAATTTAGTTAGGGAAAATTACCGTCGCTGCACCCAACCCCTGAAAGGGGGTAAGGGAACAAGTTTGTACCTTTTTCACTCTAATTCTCATTCCCTTTCCCCATCTAGAGAATTTTTTCGTGTTTTACTATATTTAATTTACAAAAATTATGTTTATGCAATATATACCCCCTTTCTTACTTTATATATATTTATATTCCTTATATATTTCTCTATGCAAAATTGGTTGTTTTAAAAAGACCCCAACGAATTTTTACGAATTTCCGAAAATTTCGGCGGCACTTCGCCTCCCCCCCGTTGGGATGGGGCTCGGCCGAAGGCCTAAAAAATGTCGCCGAAGGGGTCTATCAAAAAGATATAATTTTCGTAAAGGAGTTTTGAATTTTTATTTGATTTTTAAGTATTTTCTTTAATTATTCTGTAATTAATTCGACAAAATACACAAAATTTCAGAAAATTTTCGCAGCATTCACCCTCCCTCCGTTGGGATGGGGTTCGGGACTGTCGCCCCTAGCGCAACCGTCCAAAATAAACAATGGCAAATTTCAAACTAAAATATAACAAACTTTAATTAATTCTTTTTCGTTATTTTAAGTATTTTCTTTCAATTAATTATAAAAAAATACCGAGAAAAAAACAAAAAAAAACAAAATAATTCAGATATATTTCGAACCGACTTTTCAGTGGCTCCTCAAGGTTGTTATCCAACCCTAAATCCCTAGATAAGACCTCACCAAACTAGGGTTTCCCCTAATTAGGGTTTAACTAACTAGGGTTTTGGAGCTTTGCGCGCAACCGCACACTCTCCTCCAACACACGAACCGTCCCAAAAACTTTTCGTTAACTCCTCCCGATATTTCCAAAAACTTTGACAGCTTACTTTCTCTCAATCCCCTTTTTCCTATTTTACACAAAATTTTAAAGAAAATAAATATTCTATTTTTATTTTCGTTTATTTTCTTCGCGGTTACTGGCTGTTCTTACCTCTAACTAACTCCGTTTGTCCCGTCCAGGGTATCAAAATGACTGGAAAAATAATCTGAACAACTTTGGTTTAGAAGTTATCTCAAAAAAAATGGACCAAATTCCCGAAAAAAAATAAAAAAAGAAAAACTAAAAATTTTCAATTAATAAATAGAAAATTAAAAAAAATTGATTTCCTCAAAATTTGACCGTTAGAATTTTTTGAGAAACGTGTCAAAACTTTCGTCTCGTCATGAGGACGATCTTTGTTTTCGACAAGGTTTACGTGAAATTGCGCGAATAAGGAGATATTTGAGAAAAAGAAAATTCAAAATTAATAAAAATCGATAAAAATCAACTAACCGAGGTATTCGGATCTAACTAACTCCCGGCTAATTTGCCAGGGCACCCCCGTTGATTAGGGAAGGCCGCAGCCTTGGGGGTGCATTTCCCCTCCCCGGCAACGGCGCCAAAGTTTGTGAGGAAACCCGGGGAGGGGCGCCTACCGTTCGCCGAAGCAAAGGGCAATGGCGTCTGTCACTCGCCTCGCCCGCTTCCGAGGTCCTCGACGACCAGCAGGGTTTAGAGTTCGATTCGGCGGTCGTGCCCCCTTGTTTTCGCTTTCCCTATTTTTGGTATCCCCACGAGTTCACCCCGCGGCAAGTTCGATCAGTTAATCGTCTCGACTGCAAGTCCGTCCAGCGGTAAGTTTGTATAGTCAACCGAGTCCATTCAGTTACAAGTTTGAACAGTCGTTCGCCCATTCAGCGGGCTCATGCTAGAGTAAGCGACAACAATTGATCAATCGTTAAGCAAGTTCATACAGCAGTCGATTTCGAAAGTTGTCAGTCGATGGGCAAGC